TTTGCAGCTATTGGGAACTGTTATCTTGTCGTATACACTTTAACTGAGTAACTATAGTTTGCGATTCAAGTCACGCATCTATAAATTGCTTTTCTGTTTTATAATAAAATTGCAATTTTTTTTTTTTTTTTTACCCTCATATCATTCACATCGATTCGTCGTTTCGATTAGTGTATTTCATTTTAGAAATAGCTTTTCAATAGCGTTAATTTTCGTTCTTTATCCTCTACGTTTGTTCTTTGCGTCTCTCTGCGTCTCTATGCAAGCACTGTTTGTCATAATCACATTTAAAGGTCAATCAAAAATTTCATTAAGCAAGTGATGTTGTTATGCTTCATATACACTTAAAATCAGCTTAATAATAACTAGCCAATCTGACCGGCCAATTCAATTCGGTTGAACAATTTGATGTATGGCGTTAAAATGACTCTTAATAGCAGCAGGTTTCAAAGAAGAAAATATCATTTTAAACGAATGACATTATTTCAGACGCATACGCATCAGTTAAAATGAGTTCAAGCACACTTGAGCTATGACAAAGGTTAAATTATAAACGTTTGCCGACATTGATCCCCTACTGGCTGACTGACTTATTGTTATTGAACGTGAGAGTAATTTTCGCTTTAGTTTTATTACATATCCACCTCAATGAAAGAAGGTAAATTTATTTTATCAAAACGTTTGCAACACTTAGAAGGTAACCCTCAAACAGTCTCTAAAGGCCTTATCAAGCCTTCGTGAACAACACATCTTGAATCAATCTGAAACTGATTGTCCGTACATCCATCCATCTGGTGTCTTTCCATTAGGTGTCTTTGGTAAAGCAACTGCTAGAGGCAAATGGGTTAAATCGGAATGAATGGGTGAATATTTCCAGTACGACGTAAACTATTTTCAATACAATGGGACTTTTTACTTTTCACTCATCCCGTCGTTCAGTGCAAGTATACCCATCCCCACACGTTTGCTTTTTATCGTAAGTAGCACGGGTAAAACTCCTCAGTTGCCACCGTTCCATACGTTTTTACTCTCAAGGCGTATTCGCCTGAGTGGCCGAAGGCGAGCAATCTCGACAAGGAACTCAATGGTCGTGGGTTCGTATCTCAAATGCGGTAGAGTTTTTAATGACAGCCGAAAGCCTTAGATACTAGTGCTTTAGGACTTTAGTCTTACAATTTATTCTCTGGCTAAATTTATAATAATAATAATAATAATAATACTTTTCTCTCAAAAGAGATACAACGGATAAAAATTTCCACTTGGATTTTAAGGCTAATTCAAAACGACTTAACTACTTTAAATGAAAACAATTGACCACGCCCATTATAGGATACAAAATTTTATTTATCTTTTTCAAGATAAATATAAAGCGGGTATAAAAGATTCGCTTATAGCCGAGTGGATGTTTATCGCTTGTTTGGTTTTTTTTGGCATTGCAGCAAATGTTACAGACCGTATGCTTTTGACGTTAACATACTATTAAGCGAATTTTTCTATGCACGCGCTACTGCCGTTCATTATTTGGTGCGGTATAAGTTAATTATGACATAAAATACTACTTGGGTCTTCAAATAAATTATAGTGAATGGAAAATATGAAAACGCCTATTAAGTAAAGATTATCTGATTACCGTAACTTTTCAAAATTTTTGCATTATTTTCATATTTCTTTTGCAACACTCTATGGAAACCAACTATATTTATCATAAGCTATTTGCGAACACGCGACGTTTAGGATTACGCTGCTTTTGCTTTCATTCGCTTTATTATTAATATGCCTTAAAGCATATAACATAATTTTGTTTTCGACTTTGTCCCAAAGTAGATTTCAATCACTTAAGTATTAATATGTACAAAGCTGGGGTGAGTGGTGTAATGTGAGTAATAGTTTGTGAAATAAATCGATATACTGAAGTTGTTAACAACGACAGTAAAAATAAGTTGTGAAGAGAGGGACGGGTGATGGGAAGACAGCGAATTTGTTAACGTTAAAGACTTACCTGTTTACGATACTTGAAAGAAAGAGTTCCTGAGATGTCAGTCTATGTTAGTATCTTATAGCTGAAGAATGATCCAAATTTTTTATGTCCTCCACTAACGTTTTATGGGTTGTGTTTCAAATCCTTGTACAATAGCCCAGCATTAACAAAATGAAATGATTATTTATAATATTGCCCTTTGAACTTTTTGGTCGGCTTTAGCTATATTTTGTACTTGTCGCCAAATACTTGCCGCGCATTATTTGATTATTTTTATGACTGGCTCAACAATGTATTGCATTTTGGCTATCTACATGCAATTGGGACATGTACTGCAATACTATGTGAAATTGCCTTGTTAGATGAAAGTAATGAAAGTAACGACTCAGCATTTATTTACTTAAATTAAATGTGTTATAAATAAATTGCAAGTATTGCGGAATAAGCATTTTCATTTAGTAATTGCACATACAAAAATTGTTTTAATTTTGTATAAATACCATCCAGCACATCCAGCATAAAGCCATCATTAATGCTTACGGAAATGAATGAATCAATAGCTCGGAAAACCGGGTGAGAGCATATCATTTGGTGGGGGAACTAATGTTAGCGATCGGCTAGGCATCTCGACATGTCCAATAGACAGGAATGAATATGAGGAATATGTCTATATGTATTTATATACATATGTGTAGCATGTGTAGCTCCCTGCGGCTGAGCTAAGATCATCATAATCCAGGATCCTACCGCAAGATTTATTTGTACTTTAGGTCCAAATTAGTGAGGTTGTTTGCAGTACTGAATTCTTAATTTATTTCAAAACGATAAATGCGAAGATAAATGTGAACATATTGCTTCTACTTTCCTTGATGATCTGGAGCAAGCATACTTTATGCGGCTCCCAAGCAGCCCCATGTAAATATGTAAAAAATCTCAACTATATCTGAACACAATACTACTTTAGTTACAAATTGATTTTCTCGAATGAAAAATATTCCCGTATTAATCCTCAACAATGCTTATTACGATTACTTAGGAAAATTACACTGTATAGTATCTTGTCCCTCCACCTGCTTCGTAGATAATGTATTTTTTTCTATTTAATTTTGCTCTAATGTTATACAATATTTTATATTTTCTTTTGTGTTTAATAAATCTTCTCATATTACAGTTTCTTTTAAAGCTACTCTTCCCTCAGTTTATATAGTGTATTACAAAAAAGCAACAACGGACTTGTGATGTTTTTCTGTACCATCATGAACATTAATGTGCTACACGTTTTTACGGTATGGAAATAGGAATTGGAGATATCATCTGAGATAATATCGCTAAATAGCGGAAGCGATTTAGATATGCGCTCTCGCGTTTATCAATTTCAATTACAATTATATCTCCAAATATTCTTGTACGAGCAAGTTTCATATGAATTATTATCCTCAAGTTTAAAAAAGTTTGTAAAATAGACTGTTGTCAATGACATATCTAATATCGTCTAGAGTTTTAGAGTTTTTCGATCATTTTTATTTGTTTTCTTTACTAACATCGAAAAGTCGTTAAAATAACCGCAGTTACCGCCTGAAAGTATTTAAAGCTTTATGTGTATAAAATGAGTCAAGTGAGTGTGTTTTTTCTTTATAAAGGAGAAGAAAAAAAACGAAGTATATGTTTACAACATGTTGTTGAATAGATTCATCCGATATATACGCTAATCAATATAATAAACGAGTTTTGTCTGAAAAGCGAGTCAGAAAAATGTTACTTTTCGGAGGTTAGTGCAGCTACCTTTCAATACAGCTATCCAAAATTATAGTGCCATAAATGACGCTAAAAAGACCCCTTACACCCCCCGTATTTAAATTGCCTTTATATTGTGTAGGCGTATCGCATATCGAAAACTCATATTACAAAATTATCATTTGAAAAATGCGCGCCCAAAAGGGTTAAAATTTTAATGATTGCTTAATACTCCTGCAATTATCCTCGACGAATGCTATCTTATTTCAGGCAAGGTTTGAAACGTTTCACACAATCTTCATATGTAATGTTAATTGAAAAGTTGAAAAGAATGGATCGCGAACCATGTCAAATGAAAACCGCGCGCCGAAAAGGATTAAAGTTTTGAGAACTTATCTGGGTATGGAATGCTCTGCAACTTTTATCGACGAATGCTATTTTCTTTAGGGTTAGGTCTGAAACATTTCACACAACTTTTATTTGCAGCTTCATTTCGAAAGGTCGAAGAATGGATAGCGGACCGTTGATAAGCACCAACAACTGCGCTCCCAAAAGAGTTAAAGTTTTAAGGAGAACTTATCAGGATATGCGAAAAAATGCTCTCCAACTTTTGTCAACGAATGCAACCTTCTTTGGGATTAGGACTGATACGTTTCACGGACCATTTATATGAAATATAATATAATTTTCTAAGCTTTTCTTCTTGTGCTGCCTATGGCTCTCAAGTTCATTTATTGCACTTTTGAATTGATTGAAAGAAATCCTTCTAAATACCTATCTGTAGGTATACTAAGTTTTTGTGTTTTTTATCCAATGAAAATCAGTTGTAAATCTAAAGTAGCAGACTTCTACTGCTCAACTTGCTTTACCTTTACATTTTTGTTCCAGTGATTATAAGTATTATATGAAAAAGATCTATATTTACTTTAAGCTGATATTTATAAGAGTGTATCGACCAAACTATTTGCTAATTGTTGATGTGGAGGATGAAACTTCAAACCTTGTTCGTTTTGATAAGCTCAAGTTGGCTTTAAGATTGTACGAGCTCTCAGAGTAAAGATCCCAATAGTAAAACAAGCATTAATTGATGATATCCAGCGGAATATATTAAATAAAATGAAAAAAATTGTCGCAAATCTGTCAAAGGTGTAAAAGCTTAAATAAATGTTTGTCTTAATTAAAAAATAATTATTATTAATTACAATATTAAAAAGCTAATAAAAATTTAATTAATTTATCCTCATTTAACAAATCATGTTTTATATTTTTTTTCTGATTTTCGTTTCAGCTTTTTTTTTATGCTCACAACAGCAAAAACCTGACGTAAATATTTAATAGGAAAAATAAGCACAAAAAGAAAGAAAACAGAAAGAAAAAATTTTTAAAGAAATATTAAAAAAAAAAAAGAAAAAAAAAATCCTAATAATGAGCAAACGTGCTTACGTATATACGCATATAAATGTGAATAGAAATGCAAACCAATTGTGTGTATAATAGAGGATGCAACGATAATGTTGATGATGTCACTAAGAAAACCAAAAAGATCACTCTTCTTCTTCTTCTTCGTGTAATAATATCACTTTGAAAGAAAAAGAAAACAAAAAACAAAAATAGTAGAATCAAATCGAGCAAACTAAACGTCATTATATTGCTAAGAAAATATTAAGCAAGGTTAGGTGTTGACATTCGCTAATTTACGTGTACGTGTGTAATGAAAGAAACTCAATGGTTGAGTGAGTGTCACCATGAAAGAGAAAATCTCGAATGAAAAATTAGAATATTGTCACTTTGATAAATATTTGAGAAAAAATTATTTAGCGGAAGAAATGGCAAAAAAAAAAAAATTTCTCATACACTCTTCAGTCTATATTGGCTGGTCTAAGTATAACGAAGAGGGTGGCGCGTGTTTCTAAATTAAAATAAAATAAATTCTTATTATTATTATTATTCTTTTTAATTAAGTAAGAAAAGAAAATTAAACATAACATTAAAGAAAAAGCAAGTGTTGGATGATCGAAAAGAGAGAGAAAAAAAAAAAGGAAAATTCATTAAAAAGCACATCTGAAAAAAGAAAAGCAAAGAAAAGAAAAAAATAATACAAAAAAAAAAAAATAAAAATAAATATATATATATATATATAATAAAAAATACATAAAAAAACTAAAGATAAATTGAAAAAAGTAAAAGTGTAGAAAAAAAATTTATATTTATCTATATATTTTGCTTAAAATAAAGTGCAAAAAGGAAAAAAAAAAAATCTTTAACAAAAAAAAAAAAGAATATTCGAAGTTAAAATTTATTAATGATATTATTCTTCTAATAATCCAACCTTGATGATTGCTTATGTGGTGACATTAGCAGCATTTTGTGTTTTATTGTCGTTATTGTCTAATTTATACCTAAGGATAAATGTATTGCTTGCTATTCAGTTCCACTGTCACGGTTAAAGCTGTTTGAATTTTAAGGTAAGCCAGCCCCTCAATCTATATTTAGCGCACATATATATAATATGAGCAACCATCCACTACCAGTACCATCGCAATCACTTTTTAACAACAACGAGACAATCAGCACATATTTATTTATATATATATATATATATATATACATATGAATTTTTCTTCTTTTGTCATTTTGTTTACATTGATTAGCATTGTTTTGTTTTAGTATTGCATCGCGCATAAATAAATTTTAGTGACGTCAATCTGTCTAGTGAACTCTGTTCGGCAGACACTAAAAGTTCACATATAAGCATGTACGGATTTTTTTCAAAGGCTCGTTAAAATCATTTTTCATACCGTGCAAGAAAAAAAAAAAAACAACATTTAAGTAGTTGTAAAGAAAGTAAATATATTCAGAAGAGAAGTAAAAGCACTATTGTGGGCCACGAATCACGCTTAAATGTCCTGCTTCACTTCGCTCACTATAGGCAATCATTCCTTTTCGCAGTAATGCATTAAAAATTGTACATTATATTTATATGAATGCATAATTGTCATGAAAGCTCCTCATATTGGAGGATGCTAAAAACGCCAACTAAGGCGGTCCAAATTACTTATGAAAGATTCCCATAATAAAAGACTACAAGTTAGACTTTATCGCCACATGCAAGTGTTTGGTTTTGATGAGAACTCTTTTATACATTTGGCTAAGAGACCTATTTAATCCAAATCAAGTTATCCTTATAAGCTAGTTTGTATCAAAAAATATCAAAATTTAAACATTTTTGCCGTATTAAGGCTTATTTTCCATTAAGCCCCTTTGTACGAGCTGAGATCCAGAAAATACATCCTGTTTCTATAAATTTAGTGAGATGATTGTTTGAGTCAAATAGTTATTAATTACATAAGGAATCTTGAAAATTAGTTTCTTTTACCATATAAAAGATTCAGATTGGCGAATCCGATCCTAATATTTCACACCAATTCAGAATGACCAAGTACTAGTCCTTAGAAATTTTTGTTGCTAAATTCTGAAAATTAGAATTTTTTTTCATCTAAACTCTTATCAAATAAAGACGTTGTGTAGAGAGTAGTCGAAAAAGTGTTCCGATCTGAAGCACTATCAATAGCTTTCGTTACTGCAACAAATTTCATTAAAATGCCTCAAAAATTGCGACGTGTAGGTTGAAAGCAAAAACGGCGGCAGCCATCAGATGAATAGACGCTTAACTCGATTCAGGAAGTGATTTTCAATCGATAGGTGTAATAAAAGATGTCTCTACCCAAAACTTGAGCTTTATATAAGTTCGCACACATTTAATATACCCTATACGAAAAGTGTTATAAGGTATAATAAGTAAAAACACTATGGTGGTCAACAGAACTTCACTTAATATACTTATTCATATAATAGCTTTTCAAAATGAGGTTTTCTAAGGGGGAAGGTCGACCAAGTGATCTCATCCGAATCGTTTTCAATGGCAGTATGCCAAATTTCATTGAAATATTTCAAATATTGCGACTTGTAGGTTGAACGCAAGAGAACAAGATAGACAGAAAGGCAACCAAGCTTGAATGGATTCTCAATCGATCGGCATAATAATAAAAGATGGATCTATCTGAATTCCTTCTGGGTGTTCTCCAAGAACTTTAACCCTTAAACCCTTGTCAGACAAATGCTGTCGAATATGAAAAATTATATCCTTTATTAAAAGTCAATTTCCAAGTCTTACTAAAAATTTTCTTTTTCATAGTAGAAGATAGTGAAATGCTCTCATTGCCGTAAAGTTCAGTGCTTTTTATAGATTTTTTTTGTACTGATTTGTTTTTAAATGTTTCGTTTTGCCTAAATTCGACAATGGTTAGAAAGTTCTTTCATTCGGATATAAAAGACGTCATTAATCAGACTAATTATAGTGAAATAATGTAGAGTATGCCTCAAGTATTTCATATAAAGGAACTTGAGAGAAGTAGCCTTCGATTTAAGCTGCGACTACGTGAGTCTGTTCATTCTTGTGATCGTCTAACTATCAGCCTGATTTTATATTTGTTCTTAATGATTTTCATCACATTCAGCTCAGTAAGTAAGAGAGTTAATGGCCGTGTCTCTGTTTCGTGGGCATGTTCTCCAACTATTTGCAAAGTCCTTTACTTGTTTTCACAGCATTCATCCGCATGGTTGCGTTTAATAATTGTATCCAATATATTCAGAGCGATATCTGCCTATATAAAACCTAAGCTATTGAATATAATTCCTGCGCTGTACTTTCAATGCAAAGCTGCTTTCTGAGTTTTTAAGAGTTTCCGTATTCTCACCTAAAAACAATCAAAAAAGTCACGTTTCGTTCATATAATTTAACGTGAAAATTAAATGTAATAAAAGTATGTTATCATCGAAAATATCTTTCTGTTTTTTGTGCCATTCTTAGTGGCCGATTGCATAGCATTCGTATGCTGCCAAAGTTGTATTTATGCTACACGTGTTTCGATTGTATATTTGTGTCCATCAGCGGAAAGGGGAGCGTATAATCGATTTGTTAAAACGTTCGCAACGTTCAAAAGGAATCTTCTGCTTTTCAAAGCGATTATCTGTCTAAGTAAGTAATGCCTGTGTTATACGGGCCACTAATGAAATGAAAATTTGGCAAAAATATCGCATGTTGTTCAACGCAGTTTGCTATGCATTACATGCCGAATCGGTCAAAGCATACGCTCGAAGTATGAAGTAAAGTAGGAACTCCTAATTTTTTTCGTGTTTTCTCTCATCACTCATAAACTTCAGAAATAAATGTTTGTACCTTCCCTCTTACAATAAGGGTGAAGAGTATAAATGATTTGGTCAAAGCTCTATATAATTTTCTCACTTACTTGCACCACAAGTGGTGTAGGGTATATTACTTTGTGCGGTCGTATGTAACAGGCAGAAGTGCTTAAGGTAGACTCACTTTTTATTGTACCGATCGATTCAGTACCATAATCTGAAGTGATTTAAGCCTGTCTTTCCGTCTGTCCGTGTAAATTTATTTTCAAGTTAAAGGTAGCAATTTTTTAAATATTTCGCTGAACTTTGGTACAATGGCGAGAACGAACGCTACTGAAAATGGTTCGGATCGATTCACTTTTTTCATCAGAGCGACCCCGTATGACGTTCTATTCTGAAAAGTTCTTATAAGGAAATAAATGCAATTTTCCAAAATTTCTCAGCAAAAGTGCGTAAGTAGTAGTATTTGGATATTCTAAATTGATATGGAAACTTTAGACCGACTGGGCAATTTTTGCATCCACTCATGTAACGAACACTGAAGTGCACACAACAAAAAGATCAAATTTTCAATGCTATACGAAGAAAATTATACCATAATTGTACCATAATTAGACCTTCCGGGCCTATTTTTTGGCGTCTACTATAATAAGAAGTTTCATGAAAATTGACCTCTTGTAGAACAGAAAAGTCTAAATTTTAATACGTGGTGATGAAAATTATTGATCCATAATAATAGTTTTATACAAAAATGAATCTTAATAAATTTGGACCGTCTAAGCATATCTTGGAATCCTGCCTTATGTAAGGATTAAATATGTATTAGTTTAGGTTGCGTTTTGGGTCCGCTTCCCGGTAAATAAGGACATGAAAAATATACCTTTACTTAGAAACAAGCTACAATTTTTGTGTTCTATAATAAAAATAAGAATTGTATTAGACAATATGGTGTAGGGTATTTAATAGTCGGCCTTGCCCTACTATAATGTTCTTACTTGTTTCGATATATTTTTCGCGCCTTGCGATATGAAGTTTGGGCGGCAGTACTCGACAAATACCCACATTTTATTATGCTTGTTGTGTAGTGTCGTTATGCTACTATAGCACAGTATGATGATATGCTTACGTTTACGTAGCTTTCTATAACTCTATTGTATGAACGTTTTTATACTCTGCACCACTTGTGCTAGAAGAGCATATGAAGTTTGTGCGGATCTATGTAAAGCCCAGAGTACCTGAAGCTAGAGCCACCTTTTATTACAGCAATCGAGTTAGATTCATTTTTTGCATATATCTGTCCGCCATTATATTTAGTTTTCTCATGTTTAACCTGAACACTAGAATTTTTGAGATATTTGGATGAAATTTGGTATATTGGCGTATTTTGGACCAAAGACGAACGCTATTAAAAGTGTCCGCCTCTTTTCGATCACTTCCCATATATCGTCTTGTTTTGACGACTCGTTATTCGAAGAACTGTAGAATGGTGCGGGATATATATTGGCGGATTGCGGCCCACTATAGTGTTTTTGCCTATTGTAAGTTTTCTAAAGCTCCTCATATTTTTCGTTGTTGTACCGAAAATGTTTACGTGGTTAGGATCTACTTTCATAAATTACACACAAGTTTATCATTATATATTTATTCATTTTTCATTGTTTACCGCATGTTTATGCGTAAAGAGAATTGTGATAATTAAACAATTAATCCTTGGTTAGGAAACATCTAGATTTTTAACTGAAAACATACCGTCTAGTATAAAAGGCGTATTAAATACAGGAATAATAAATTAATTAACTTATTTTTTTAGTATGTTGACGTTTTTGGTTAGCTGGTGCAAATATTTGAAATATTTCTATTAAGAGGAGAATACTATGCCATATATTTAGATCTGTTTTCCTTGCTCTAAGAACACAAAAACGAAACGAATCGCGGGGTACCTGGAAAATTATGTTAAGCGACGCCCAAAGTTTTTTTTTGCAGTTTGTAGCGTGGTAACTGACGCCGCTGAAAAATCTCTGAACTTGATTTATTTATCCTCGTAAATCATTGCTTTGCCTACCATTTTTATAACACAACACTCACCAAGGAAGGCGGATGAGGAGTATTAACGCATCTGCATGATTTTTAGATAGTACAAATCTTTAAATGAAATGTTTCAAAATGCTATAACATTCCGACCATTACTTCACAAATTACAGTTAGTTCAGTAAGCCCAGAAGAAATTTAGATTTTTCCATAATTTAAAAAAAGCAAAAGAAGC